TATATTTACAGGAGTATAATTTCGTAGAAAGAACACATAGTCGTGTGTCTTTTGGCTTCTGCATTTAAAAAGGTGAGGTGCTTTGTAAAATGAGATTTGTAACCAGGATGAGGTCAGTCTCTTGTTTAGACTTCTAAAGTTGGTAAACACCATTTATTTCAGTTATGTAAATTTGATAGCTCTCGAAATTTAACAGTTACGTAAAGTTGACAGCAATGTAACTTCCATAGCCATCTGCGGCTTGAATCATCTGGTGCTTCTGAGCCTAATGTGAAAAGTTGACTTTGAATGAATAAAATTTCGTATCTCGAGCCTATTTTCCCGATTTTGTTTCACATTTAAAACTAGCGTTTTAAACAAAAAGAATTCAAATTGCCCCATTATTGACCTTGTTTACAATAATTGGTAAATATAAATTTGAGGACTTCTGTACAGGAGTTTTGAGAATCCCACGCCAAAAGGAATGCAGTTGATGATGTTTCTAGTAAATATTTGCTGAAAATTGAACGAGGCTGTAGAATATTTCTTGTTGATGGAGGCAAACTGTAAATTTTACCGTCGACTGCAATTTAAAGGTTAATTTATTCAGGTGTCAGGAAAAGTGTGAATCAATCCAACCACACTTTACCCTTTTGTAAAATCACTTTCAAGAATATACGTTTCTTTTTCACTTAGCTCCGCTTGCATCAAGTAGACACGGGAAGTTTTAAATTCAAAGTTCTGGATCGTGCAAAAAGTACGTTATGGGAAACATGAGATATCGAAATATCGGAGAGGTGCATCATTGCTGTACCTAAGAGAACTTGACAGATGCAAAGGGGATCTGAGGATAGAAATTCTATTCTCCTAAATGTCTGAAATATTTATTCTTATTTTAAAATGTTATTGATTTTAATTGGTTTGATTCTGTTACATGTATACTACCGTAGGTGACAAGTCAGTAGAATACCTTGCTTTAAATCTTAAGTGCCTTTATTGGGTTGATAACACAACTGAGGATACTCAGTATTAATTGGAATACCAGATTTTTGCACTGATGGACTTGGGCTCTTGTGACAGTAATAGCGTTCCTACTTCTGAGCCAGAGGCTTAAGACTTTAGGCTTATGTCCCATCTGCTCCAGCAGTGTGCAATAACATCGCTGAACAGGTTCATTAGGAAATATTCAAGTTTCCCTGGCCTTTTTTTTAAAATGGAAGAGAGGTGAAACCCCTCTGATAATTAAAACCGGAACACCCAGAGAGGCTCGCTTCACCTGGTAATCTGTTAAAGGAAATGTGAAAAGTGGTATACCTGCCTCTGACCTCCCAAACTGTTACAAAGGAGGGTTAAAATAAAATTAACTCCTGACAGTCACTCTGCAATCATCAAATAACAATTTATTTATCTAACTCTATAACAGTGAACAAATTAACAACACTAACAAACTGAACAATTCCTCCTTAAATACTAACTATTCCTGAATACAACAAAATTCAAATGGTATGCTATTCTAATAGATACAAATCCCACTTATATAAACCAACTAAAGAAAATTAAAACTTAATCACTTGAAATTAAAGCCAGGATAAGTCTTCCGGAATGTTCTTTACTTTCTCCACTGTTTTCCATTTAGGAATACCTTTCTCCATCAAATTCTTGTATCAGGAATATTAGCTAAGCATGCCACTGTATCTTTAAATGGACGATTTTTTTTCTGAGCTGATCGAATTCTGAGACAGCCAGTGTTTCTATTTATAGCTGATAGGTTGTTACCTCTTTTAGATGGTTATTGTTCTCACACAGATATTCAAATATCCTCTTCTTTTATACCCTTGATGACCTATTAATTTCTTACAATAGGATTGGTCCTCCGTTGTCAAAACAATCAGATCCAAATCCAATTGGATTTTGGTATCTAGGGCTTAGTTTAAATTAATTGGCTAAATTGAAAACCTGTTGTCTTGGTAAAAATGCTGCTTTGCGTGCTAACAGTATACCCCTTTGATACAAATGTTTCAATTCAAAAACTCTGTGCAGCTGCTGCTGCTTGCAGACTTTTTGTCAAATTGCCAAGCATAAAAGAAACATCTTTTTTTAAAGGGACCACACACTCTTGCCCCTTATCATTTTACAAACATCAATTATTCTAACATTCTGCCTTTCATTCTACAAATACTTTACCCAACTTCACAACACTTTAATAAGCCTCTTGAGGCTAGCACTCCTGCATCAAGTAACTCACCTTCGAATTCTCCAAAGCCTGTCTATGATCAATAAAGCACAGGTCAGGAGGGTGACAAAATACTCTCCACTTGCCTGGACGGTTGCAGCTTCAGCAACACTCAAGAAGCTTGACACTGTCCAGGACACAGCAGCTCACTTTTTTGGCACCATATCCACTCCCTCCATCATTGATGTTCAGTAGCACCTTCTGAACACATCATCTTCCAAACCCACGACCACTTCTATCTTGAAGGACAAGAGCAGCAAATACATGGAAACACCACAACCTGCAAATTCCAAGCCACACACACCCAGTCTTGGAAATACATTACTGTCCATTTGCTGTTACTGGATCATAAGCCTGGAATTCCCTCCCTCAAGGCATTGTGGGTCTACCCACAGCACATGGGCTGCAACTGTTCAAGAAGGCAGCTCACCACCTCCTGCTCAAGAACAACAAATGCTGGTCCAGCCAACAAAGCTCATGTCCCATGAGCGAATAAAAAAAATTGTGTAACGGTGTGCAATTTGGCTGTTGCAATTACCTATAGAGAAACAGTGACACCTCTGTAGGCGTACAAAGAAAATTCCAGGTCTTCAACAACCGAAACCAATGCTAAAGCAACTCTGAGAGTTGATTGGCATCCCTACCTCTGAAACGGGAGGCCGGGATCAAGTCCCACCTACTCCAGAGGTGTGTAATAACATCTCTGAACAGGTTGAATAAAAAAAAAAGGTTAAATAATTAAAAAGACTGTATTGGCCAAGACCTGCTGGAAATGCAGAAGAGTCTGTTTCTGGCTGGCAGCAGCAATGACGACAGGTACAATCAGTCTCACCCAGAAGTAGAAGAGATGGAGGGAAGAAATCAGAAGTAGATGGCCTATTTGATTGTAAATCTATCAGTTCTTTTCTGAAGTCAGTGATTCACCGTGATTAGACATGCACTGTACCTGGAAGGAAGATCTCTGATAAACTCACATTACTCAGAGATACAATCACCTATGGGCAGGACAGTAGGATGGGTACCTTCTTCATTAACTTGGACCAGAAGGACCTTGACAAAATATTGCACACATACATAATTGAGGCCCTCCAAAATGGGTCTTGTGGAGGAAATCTGCAAATGTATCCACTATTCTGACAAACATCAGTAGCAACATCTCAAACAATATTGAAAAGTTTTCTGACAGTGCTATACTCTCTCCAATGTCTCGTTTATAAGTTCTTTCAAACCTTTGTCTGAGCCCATCAAGAAGGATGTGGGCACTATAAAGATTACAATTTTGACAAATAGAGGTGTTCAGGTCAAAGCTTCCGTGTACATGGATGATACTATTTTCTTTGAGCAGACAGATATTTTGTCCTCTTCACTATCAAGTTACTGTACCAGAAGATGCTGGAGATTTAGTTTGGAATTATTTGGGGCTTTGCCAAAAATCAAAAGGAAAATCTGGCAATGGTGGATCTGTCAGAAGGCTTCCTGTCAAAGTAATTTGCTAACATGTCTCCTGACTTGGAATTTTCAAACAAGCACTAAGCTGTCACTTGGCTGTCGGGGAGAAAAGCTAACACATCAGTCATTCCTGCATGCCTGGAATCCCATATCTTTGCATGCAGCACACAGAGCAGCTGTGATGGGAAGAGACTATTGTCCATCTCCACCTGGAATATGCCTTTGCAAAGCTGATGGAAAGAGTTGGAATACTTTTTTGTCAGATATGACATCGTTTTTTTCTAAGGGTTTTCCATCTGACAGCCAGCCTGTTTGATGGGTTCCCAGCTTGTTGGACAAAAAATGCTGCAAATAACTAACTGAGAGGAATCATGAATGAGTAGGGATAAAAAAGAAACTGCTCGAGAAACTCAGCAGGTCTGGCTGCATCTGTAGAGAGAAAAACAAGAGTTAACATTTAGAGTCCAAACCTGATTCTTCTTTGGAACTGTACAAGGCAGCGAAAGTATGAGTATTTATGCTGTTGAAAAACTGGGGAGGTGGAACAAGAAACAGATGGGAAAGGTGCCCAGAGCAAAAGGCAAAGGGGATGCTGATGGTAACACAAGACAAGGAAGCCCAGAGATATCATGTTTCCAGCTACCTTCAGTTACAAAGAGAATTATATTGGACTTGAAAGGTTTAAGTTTGTTTCTAGCACTTTCAACTTTTATCTCAGATCTCTAGTATCCATAGTACTTTGCTTTTAATGGGGAAGGTGTAGGTCATGGTCACAGGGAAGGTTTGGGGTTCTGGATGTGGTTTTTGAAAGAGGTTGATTCCAGTTATGATCAGGGGAAAACAAACCAGTTTCAGTCATGGTCACAGAGGTTTAGCAATCATGGACCTGGAAACAGGTTAGTACGCCTGCTACTCCTCACCCACAAACAGAACTGGTAAATTTCCAATACAATATATAGGTGGTGTTCTTGGATACAGCCCTTCTCAAAGCCTTATGTTCACGATTTCCATGATGTTGGAAACTTGGTCAAAATGGATTAGAAGAACCTGTTAAAAAGAAGGCACACAGTCCTCTTATCAGATTTAGCAGACATGGCCTTCCACCTGAGGGCAGATTGGTTCCCTGTGACCTGCTCCAACTCTGTTAAATATGCAAGTAGGTGGGTTTAAGACTGGTTGGTGGAATGTTTGAAATTTTTCAAATTTTAACATCTTGCCAAACCCCATTTTAGCTGTTCTTCGGGCTTAAATTACCTTTGGTTTGTTAAAATCCTGCCTTCTAATTTACTAGATTTGTAAAACTACAATATTCACTGGTTATCAAATACTATAAAAATAGTGACGCAGAAAAACTGAAAATTTTATTCATGTTCAGGGCAAACAATAACTCCCACAAAGATACTTTTATTCACCAACAACCAAGGTGTATCTTTCTGCATTTGACTCTGATCCTGACTCAATTTTGTGGTCAGTGGTGAAACAGTGATGTGTACCACTTACCTGGAAGGCAGTTGCCTTCTACAGAGTTTTGTGGTGTGGTGTTCCTCTTCCTCAGTGGCATTTTAAGTCTAGCATCAAGTCAAAGTGATGTCATAGCTTGTAGCAGCAGTGATATGAGCAAGCATGTTACACAGCCAAACACATTGAAGTATGCATACACATTAAAAAAGTTAAAGCACAACACCCCACACTTTTAATTTATATTTTCAGATAACAACAAAATTATGGTCTAATTAAAACAAGCTAAAAGAAGCTAATATGAAGATAAGCCAGGCTTATGGAACTTTCAGTGTAACACTTATTATAATAAAAAAAAATTCTACAAATATCACTTTCCTCTTTTAAAGCTGGTAAGGATGTTCAGCAGTAATTATGAAAGTACTACCCTTAAAAATCCAGCTGCATTTCAATCAACAAAGTATAACCTTTTCGAGATTTTTACAGTGAGGCTAATAGGTAGGAGCGGAAATTCTGTCAATTTGTAAAATTTCTCACTGATTGCAGTTGGGAGATGCCTCCAAAATGAGCCCACTACAGTGACATAGAATCTTCTGTTTTTTTGTATTATTCCACACTTCAGAAGGCGTAGTCAGTTTCAGTGGAGGAACAAAAGTAAAAACTCTCAGTTTTCCCCAGTGCAATATTTAGGCCATTGTTAAGCATCAATGATGTACTTCATCCTTCTCTTGTCAGTGTTCATCAGAAAAAAATAATATTGGGACTGTAAGTTTTGAATCTGTTTCATTAAGCAAAAGCAGATGAATATTTCACTTGAATACAAAGTTCCCAATTTATCACCATTGTATTCTAGTCATGGATTATTTTAAAAGTCCTTGCTCTTTCAACTATTGGCAAGCAGAAATTAATCAGTGAATGCAGACCACTAGCCTGAGCTCTTCTTGTCCTTTTAAAGTCCAACCTATATTAAAATAAGTTAGATATTGCTCAGGATTGATAAAATAAATGACATATTGCAAAGCATTTAGCAACAATATTAGATCCAAAAATCAAATTTGCTCTTAAAAATATACAAAATCCTGCTAAGATGCCAGCCTCTGGTCAGTTAACAACCCACAGAACATTACAGAAATGAATGATAAATAAGACCACAATCTTATACCCCAGTTTAGATTCAGGTCAGAAAATTTATTGAAATGGAGTAGTATTGGTGTATCTTTGCTCTGACTGCCACTCCAAAGACAAAACAGAGGTAAAGTGTTTGGAAACAAAATATAACTTTGATAAAAATGTATGGTTATGTATAGAAAAATAAACTGTTGCCTCATTGAATGCAATTTAGCAAACCTCATACACAATAGCTTAGGGTAGGTGATGGCATAGTGGTAATGTCACTGGACTAGTAATCCAGAGCCCCAGGTTCATGTGTTTGAATCCCAAAATGGCAGATGGTGAAAATGGAACTCATTTTCAAGCCAGAATAAAAAGCTAGCCTAATGGCAACATATAACCACTGTTGATTGTCATTAGAAAAAAAAATCTGGTTCACTAAAGTCCTTTAGGGAAGGAAATCTGTCATTCCTGCCTGGTCTGGCCTACAAGCGATTCCAGACCCATAGCAAAAGTGGTTAACCCCAACCTCTACCCAAATCCTATTAGTGAATAAATCCTGCCCTGAATCTCAACTCTTAGACCTTATAGGTTGAAAGAATGTGTATAATTTAAATATGTTACCATCAACCTGAATAATAAGCATTTTAATGGGATGGCCCAGACATACTTCCCAAAATCCAATCACCATCACTCCCAAATTATTATCCAAAAATATGTTTGCAAAGGTTAGAATCCAATAGTTTGGTGTTTATATTACAGTGCTGCTAGACTTTCACATTAACTTTAAAAAAATCAAGATTTCTCAAAATCTTTGGGCAAGATATAAAAAATTGTGTACTATAAATGAGGTACTAACTTAAAAAGAGATTTCTTATATCTTTGTATCAGTCTGACTAGCAACAAGCAATTTCCGAGGGATTCACAAATATAAATGTATTTTAGAAAATCATGCTACAGAAATTAACTAATTAAAGTGAAATTTCCTGATTTAAAGTAATTTTACAAGGATAGGAAACATAAGGCTACAATCTAAACAGAATCTAAAAGAAAGAAAAGGATGTTAACTAAGCAACCATTTTAGTCATAAAAAGAAAAAGAAACAAATGTTTTACTAATATGTACTTGGCACTTTTTTATAGCACTCTTCTTATACTAGCTGCTAGATCTTCAGCTGTAGGTTTTTCTGCGGTACAACTCACGGTCAGTCCCTCTGTTGCCATGGCATCAGCTGTTGTTGGTCCTATTGCTGCAAACTGTAAAGACAATAAAACAAAATGAAAAGATGTAAAATCCTTCACTCAATTTAGTTACTAGATTAGAAGAAAGCACCTGGAAAGGCAGAGTTCAAACGCAGAGAAATAAGCAGGGATAATTATAGAGAAATATGAACAAACTGAACAGAGGCTTGCAGAGTATAACCTTATACGGCTTCTTACGGAGGGGAGTTAGTTGACAAAGCACTTTAGGCAGTTCTTTGAAAATATTCCATGGCATGTCACAAGCTACACTTAAATACTGGTTTGACACCTGTTCATTGCTACAAAAGAGTCAGGGAAACTTGCAGACCATAGAGCCACTGGCAACCTCAGCTGGTAGCTACATGGGGTGGCACTGGGAGGAGGGAGTTGAGGCATCTTTGGACATGTTGTTAGATGAGCCAACGTCTGAAATGCTGATTGCTGGGTTGAGGCCAAGTGGGTTTCAACACATGAGGAGTAACTGCAACTGTCTTCATTATTTCAACACAAACTCTTCTTTTTGCACAACTGCCACAGTCATGCAAAACAGAATATTGCTCATTAATTAAACATGTGGTATTAGTCTCTGGTTGAGGCATAGATAGAGTGGATAGCCAGAGACTTTTTCCCAGGGCGGAAATGACTTACAAGGGGGCATAATTTTAAGGTGATGGGAGGAAGGTATAGGGGAGATGTCAGAGGTAGGTTCTTTACACAGAGAGTGGTGGGCATATGGAAGGCGCTGCCAGCAGTGGTAGTGGAGTCAGATACTTTAGAAACTTTTAAGCGACTCTTGGATAGGCACATGGAGGATAGTAAAATGTAGGGTATGCAGGGTAGTTTGATCTTAGTAGGATAATAGTTCGGCACAACATCGTGGGCCGAAGGGCCTGTACTGTGCTGTACTGTTCTATGTTCTATGTTCTTAACAATGTTTAATAAAACAGAAAATAACTGGAAAAAATTGAGCAGGTCTAGCAGCAGAGGGAAGCAGAGTTAATGGTTTGAGTCCAAGGACTCTTCTTTGGAACTTTCGTAAAGAGTATTTGGACTCAAAGCATTAACTCTATTTCTTGCTCCACAGATGCTGCCAAAATTACCGAGTTTCTCCAGCATTTTCTTTCTTTATTTCAAATTTCCAGTATCTGCAATATTTTGCTTTTATTTGAATGTTTAGGAAAATCTGTCTATAAATAGTCTTGCAATTGGAAATGCAGCAATAAATCCCAGCATTAAGTAGTTTAAAAACAGCTATATGAGAAGCACTAAGAAAAAAAAAGTGCAATTTCAGCTGTCAAACATATTGTTAAGAATGAACCTTGTAAAAGTCAGATCCAGAGATTACAGTAACAAATTAAAAACTCATACCAAAAGAGAGAATAGCTAAAGAGAATTGCTGATCTTTTTGTATGGGATCAATCTGAATATATCTGACTAAAATTAAATGATCTTAAGGGTTCCATACTCCCTGTGTCACTGCCTCAAAAAGTTGGAAAATGCTGCCATCACTTAATTCATGTATCACAAATGAGTAGTTTCAGCACGCTTGCAGCATGCTCCACAATGCAAGGAAATATCCTGTAAGAACACAACTGCTCAATTGGCCCTACGGTATCTTCTGTTGTTGCTTTTATTTTTGAGATAAAATCAGTTACGTACAGGCCAAAAGATATTTCCAAGAAAAGTACCTTAATTGTGTCAATGAAGGCCCCTGTCAATTTTTTGATAGTGCTCAGACAAAATTTAACACCGGATGGACTGAAAAAGGTGATAATATCTGGGATTCCCTAGTGGGAGAAAGGAAAACAGATGAATTAATTTTTCTTACCAGTTCCAAACTGTGAAATTCCATGAGAAAATGTATCTCTTGGTAGAATAACATGCCATACTGCTATCTAGCATCCTACTCAGACAATTAAAAAGTCTTTGTTTTCGCCATTATAAATATATTAGAATGTACAAGTAACATGTACAAATTTATAATATGTTTGTATGGCATTCTGCTATTCACTAATTTAGTAGAGATGTTGTCCTGTATGTCTGAAATGGCTTAACATTTCCCTTCAAACTGTGTACACAGGAATACCCTGGGAACATAACCAAATATTTTAATGTTGATATTGTAAACATTTATTTCTTGAGGGTGAATTTTATTTGTGGCTCAATTGGCCCTACGGTATCTTCTGTTGTTGCTTTTATTTTTGAGAATAAACTCAGTCAAGTACAGGGCAAAAGATATTTCCTGTTAAAAATATTTTAATGTTGGTATTGTAAACATTTATTTCTTGAGGGTGAATTTTATTTGTGGCTTAAAATGAACGTTTAAATATACATTAATTTTATCTATTAGTGCTGGATAGGGATTTTAAACAGGAGTCTGAGTCCTGTGTTCAGTAGCATAAATTGATCTTTATTTGGAGTTCCTTTACCACGTGTACGGGAGAGGCAAGAGACTGTTCCAAATCTGGCTTTCACACGGGGCTCAGTTGCCCTGTTAAATGCAACTCAGATCGGAGGAGAGGTCAGTGATACTCTAACTTTCCCAATAAAGTACAGGATATTTACACATTCCGTGTTACAATGCTTACATGCAACACTGACACCAGTGCTTGCCACATCTCCTCTGATATATGCATCCAATCCTGTGAATACACGATCAATGATGGACAACTTCCTGGTCCACCTTAGGCCCTCCCATTACTTCGTGAAGTTTGTCAGACCATCTATCACCTGTCCTTGGGTTCCTACGATTATTGACCACATTCCAGCACCGATTGTTATGTCCCTTCCTAGGTAAGTATACTTGCTTATTACTAATGACTTTTCAAATATGGTCATGCAATTCATATCCCTTGCTGAAATTTCTACCAATTGTCATAATATTTGTAATATCAGCTGTCATTGCTTGGCATTGTGTGGCGTGAATGTTACATTCTACTGGTCAGCCCAAACCGAGATATTGTCCACATCTTGTTGCATTTGAAATTGGACCATATCAGAGTCTAAGCAGTTGTGAATGATACTGAAAATTGTGCAATCATCAGTGAACATCCCCACTTCTGACCTTATGATGGAGTGAATTTCATTGATGAAGCAGCTGAAGGTGGTTGGGCCTATGGCACTACCCTGAAGAACTCCTCCACAGATATCCTGGAGCTGAGTTGAGATGAGGAGCTAGGTTTGCTCCTGATTCCTATGGATTCCAATTGTGCTCGGGCTTATTGATGCCACAATTGTTCGAATGCAGCCTTGATGTCAAGGGCTGACACTTTCACCTCACCTCTGGAATTCAGCTCTTTTGTCCATGTTTGAACGAAGGCTGTAATGAGGTTAGGACCCGAGCGGCTCTGGTGGAACCCAAACTGGGCATCACTGAGCAGGTTATTGCAGAGCAGGTGCTGCTTCATAGCACTGCTGATGACATCATCCATCATTTTCCTCATGATCAAGAGTAGACTGATGGGGCGGTAATTGGCCAGGTTGGATTTGTCCTGCTTTTTTATGTACAAGACATACCTGTGCAATTGTCCACATTGTCAGGTTGATGCCCGAACTGTACAGGCGGAACAGCTTGGTAGGGGAGCAGCAAATTCTAGAATACGAGCCCTCAGTACCATTGCCAGAATGTTGTCAAGGCCCTTGCCTTTGCAGTATCTAAGGCCTCCAACCAAATCTCAAAATCAGATGGAGTAAATAGAATTGGCATTTGTGAGTTAATATTTTTAATGGCCCAGTGATATATGATGCTAGTTTAAAGAATTTTCTGTCTGTTATTCTCTTGCTGAACAATTATCAATGTGGAATGTTCAAATGTATTCCCAAAAGTTTACTGGTGCTATTTAATACTGGTAGGTACCATGGAAGGAACTGGAAAAGTGAGTTTTTATCACAAAGAATAAATCTATTTGTGAAGTCTCTAGAATTGATCTGTCAATGTTCAATACTTTGGTGAGGGCCACCAGCAATTTCAGGAAACCCAAGGCTGGTTTGAGGAGATGGATTTACAGGATACATCTCCGAAGTAGGTGCTACCTAGAAAGACCCCTTTGAGAAAGTGAGCAAGAGGGCTGTGTGTCTTTACAGGAAAGTGATTTTAAACACATTAGCTTCAGAAATTTGTATTACATTAACGATAACAATTCATGAACTGCATTTCCAGTGGAAGTAAAATGATTATTATTTATTATAACTTGTGAAAAATGAGGTCCAAATTGTGAATGTCCAATTTAAAGGAATCACATGAGATTCCATGCTTTAAGACTTTTACTATAATAAATTAAAATCAACATCAACTAGGCACTACTCCAATAAACGACTGACATTTTAACATACTCAAATTTCCATGTCACTTTTATATGATAGCGAACTCTCTGCAGAATTGTGCAAACTTGTATTTAGCTTCTTAAGGCATTTATCCTTGTTTCAGAGTCCTAACATCCAATGAATGTCAAAGTCTTTCCCGTTAACCTTCAAAAAACCAGCCATCTGCAGCATGGTTCACTTTGGTGATGCCTTCCTGTAACCATGCCAGAACCAACCTTCCAGTGTCCTTAAATCTCCATTTGTTCATGTCTTTGAACAGAGTACATCTTCCCACCTGCATGTTGTCTACCAGCAAATACAGAAACAGTTTTTCTTCCTCTACTGGAATCACTTAAAACCCAGACCTGGTAAGTTCCCTGAAGGACATAAGTCAACCAGCTGTTTTTAAACCACATTTCATGGTAATTGTTCCCTCATACAAAATGCCAATTGCTCCTCATTTCTAATGTTGGAAATTTTCTCCAAACTGGATATTTTTGTGCAAACATCCAACTGTACTCAGTGAGTCCAAGTGATTCTTTCCTAAATGATTCTCTCCTATACTTGTTGGAATATATGTTTTTTTCCAACCTGTTTACATTTACTCATTCTATAATAATCAGCAATGCAGGTCTTTTAAGTCAGAATATGCAATAGCTGGTTAACATGATACACTACCATTACTGAAACTGTCCCCTTCCACCTGTGCTCCAATCTATAGACTGCTCACAATTGTCCACCTTAATTCACCTGAGGTACAAAGATGTTTTGAGTAAACTTATATATTTCTAGGGGAAAATCGGGAAAAACATTACGTTTGGAGCAATTAAAGCCTCCAAGGAAAGACATTTAATATAATTACAATAGACAGGTACTTATTACACAATGGTATCTGTCAGTGGATACTTTAGCTGATAACATTAACAGAACAATCCACATATATAATTCCATATACTTAAATAAACATGCGATGAAAAATAACCTGAATTACGTACCTGTTCTGAAAAATAATCATCCAAAGCTTGCTGGAAGCAAGGATGCTGAGACGTTTTATAGACAGTTAAACTTTCCAAAGGAACACCTGAAATTAGTGCAGACTTTTGTAAATATGAATTAAAAACATTATAACAGCTCTAATGAATTACACCTCCTATTTTTGTACACGCTTTTCTGTAGAAGTAGAACAGATTTAATTTACATTACCTCTTTCAATATTAATTGAGATCAATACATCAGCAAGAATCGATTCTCAGCAAGTTTGCAAGACATACTTGTGTGCCATAGCAAAATTTTAGAGAAAAACACATTAAATTATTTGAAATATCTGGAAGAAGGGCACTAGATAGAAAGTAGGCTGAACCCTAGATTTAAATATGGCCCTGATAAGTAGAATTTCCTAGGTTTACATGTTGTGAGGTTCCACCTCTGTGTGAATAAGTTGTAGATAAGAAAACAACAATCGCACAGGAGTGCAAATTACAATTAATGAAAGCAACATTATGCAAACCATAAATCAGATGTGTGGATCTTCCTGTATGAATTCTTAATAGGTGTTTTGAATGTGCAGTTTATTGTTTATCCCACAGAGTGATACAAACATTGTAATAAACACTGTTTTAGAGACAGTTTAGTAGATGTACTGTTGAACAGCTGGACTTCCGAAGAGACTATGTCTGGATCATACCATAACTGGCCAAAATATGAAGGTTATTTAGGGAGGGTGTCTGCTCATTCTGTCTGAGCCCTCACAATGTGATGCTTTATTGTTATTACCATGGACATGACCCAGAGGAAAGCTCCCTCCTGACTTCACAGACAGGCACCAGGAGATCTCGGTGGACAAGGAGGTGGAGAGGAGGGGACTGCGGACCAGTACAGGAGGCTATGCCACCAGATCAAGACAACTTGGACACAAATTGAAGCTTGGGTCAGTGCTGTGTCCTGGATCAAGTAGGATACCAGCAGTGCAGGAAGATGGTCAATGATCTTCTGCAGTTTGCACGGATAAATGTCACAATCTTTTTTCTGCTACCTCATTCTCACAGAGCCACCACTTACTCTAACTCTGTCAGTACACACACATCTCAAGGCTCAAGACTACATCTCTCAAATGCTCTCACCCTCCTCAAGTTCCCAAACTACTAACTCTTCCTGCCCTCTGCACCTCCTATTCACTCTGCTTCACTAGGAACTGCTTTTGTCATTTACTTCCATCATACTCAATCATTCTTATTGTTTTTGAAGGAAAACTTGGTCCACGCTCTTGGACTGATGTCTCCACAGCATCTGATCAATTTACCTGTAATCATCAAACTTGTTGCACTTGACCTGCAGGATTGACTGGAATAGGATGAACCGTTTGACTCACTGTGGTAGTAAGTCCCGACTGACTGTAGCCCGTTCATAGCGACTGCTCCCCTTTGACTTTCACATATGGCTACTTCCTTGAAGCACACAATGCATTTGCTATGTAAACTGCTGGAACATACTGCAGGCATGATGTTACAAAAGGACATAAGGGCTCGGAGCAGGAGTGTGCAATTCAGCCCGTTGAGCCTGTTGATGTAGCACAGTGCTATAAAATGATATACCCACCCCCTTAACTGTTCAGTGCTCCTCACTGTGACAAACTGCCTGTCTCTGTCTAGAAAGCAATACAAATTAGAGAAGCTGGGAGCCTATAACTGACTGCTAAAGACCTGTGCGTTAATAAAACAATGTGACCAACACAGAGGCTGGCAACCCATAAGTCAGTGGTAAAATCCATGACTGAGCACTATAAGAGCAATCTAAAAGCAGATACATGAAATGTACATCTGTCCCTGTGCACAAAGAAACCTGACAGAAGCATGCAAACCATAGATGTCCCTGTGTTGAAGTGCTGAAGGACTGAAGTGGTGTGAGTGTTAGTCCCAGAGCAGGTTTGATGATGTGGTGACTTGCTGATGATAACATCTGTGGATGGTGGGTCAAGGTGGATAATGGCCATAGAACAAGCACGTTTTCCAAGGAGTGGCAAAAGACAGATTGTCACTTTTTTTACATTAGTAAAAACCTCTGCTTCTGATTCCGATCACGGACTCTACAAAAACATGCAGCATACCTTCAATCCAACTATGCCCTTGCAGTACAGGACAGTTGCGTGAAGACAAACCATGCTTGCTTTCTCATGGCTGTAATTGCTGTATTCTGTAATTTAAGTGTCTAGCAGCATAAACAGTCACCAGGACAGCTACTATGAATGGGTAAGTATGTAAAGCATGTATGAGGTTAGGATACCAGAAAGGTGGGTGACAGGTAGGTAGAGTGCCAAGACACAAGTTGGGAAGGTTACTAGGTAAATGATTGAGTGTTTAGGGCATGAAAAAGCATATGATCTGGCAGGACGAGTGAAGCACTTGGGATGAATGACCTGCAGGAGGCCAAGACTAGAAAGCTCAGAGTGGTAGCAAGGTGGAGAATTAAAACGATAGATGACTGGTAGCTCAGGTCAGATTTGTGGACTGAACTAACGTGTTTCACAAAGTAGACACACATTAGTCTCTGTAATGTAGGGGAAACTGCATCATGAGCAGTAGGCAATGGTCATAAGTATAAATATACACCATCAATTTCTTTCTTTATGCAATTCAAGTGAGAACAGACTTAATGAGATGCAGGTTCTATTGAAAAAAAATAGATGTGTAGAAGATTGATCTGCATCTAAGAAGGTAAGTATCTTAACATTTCTTCATGATGAAACATCACATCAAAAACATTATTATAAAAATGCTGACTGGTGTGCAATATGATTCAAGCATTTTTTATTTTCATTACACATTTCTAGTATAAATAGTTTTCTTTGTACCTCAGAAAATTAACATATACCTTTTTCTCTTAGACATTTGGGAAGTATCTCTCTTTTTAGAGCACCACATGGAAACAGAAGAGGCAGGGAATTTGAAGATTCTTCTGCAGAAATGAGAACAAGATTTTTCTTTAGAAATAAAGCTCTAACACAATTTTTACCTGTGATATGGAGATGCCGGTGATGGGGTGGACAAAGTCAGAAATCACACAACACCACATTATAGTCCAACAGGTTTATTTAAAATCACAAGCTTTCGAGACACAGCTCCTTTGTCAGGTGAAGTGTGACTTCTGACAATTTTTATCTGTACATGGTAATACGAAAGACAATCAATATTGTACAAGTTGTGAGTATGCAATCAGGATGCCAACATGAATGTGAGATAACAAGGTGTAGAGCTGGATGAACACAGCAGGCCAAGCAGCATCAGAGGAGCAGGAAGGCTGACGTTTCGGGC